AAGAACTCGTCGAAATAAAACTAAAGCAAAAGGGTGGCGATGCGACGAAATTGTATTGAACATGTGTGTTAATTGATTACATGGGGTTCGGGGTCTATTTATACCCGAAAATTACAAACTATGTCCTTACCGGACACGACTCTTATCTCTAACAAACTCTAAGATACCATAAATCTTTGCGGCAGACTTTTGCCCAAACATATCTCTAAGGAAATTACATAAAATATCCTAATTAATAGATACAATTGCCTTCTCAGGACTCTATCCATGTGCGGCAATCATCCTGAAGTACCTCAATTCAACCCGATGTCATACACCAAGTCGTATTGTCGGAATCGGCTGCATCGGCTTACCCAGTCTGACTCAGACTGAGCCGATCCTAATCATAGCCGATCTGGACTCCAGCCGATTCTTGCTCTATTCTTGAATCGATCTCCGCCTTCGACTCCATTTCGATCTAATCTTCTTTTTTGATGCCGATATTACCAAATTTGGTTGTTAACACATGCCCCCCAAGTCCAGAATATTTGGCAATGTTTCGGATTTGCTGTATATCGACTCCAAGCAATTCTCGCACTCTGCCGTTTTCCGACCGTTATCCCCGTGCTTTAAATACTAACTACCACCCTCGAGAAATCTTCACCCCGTTACTTCCGTTTTTACCGCCGAAGCCAACCGCCTTCTTTCTCTCTCCGGCGATTTCCTCGACGCTCAAGGCGATCCCCAAGCGATTTCGTCTCCAGTCAGATCTCCACCCACAGCGATGTCGTCCTCCGCCAGCCCATCTACCGCGCCATCAGCCGAGTACGCTGAGGTAAGTTCTCATCGGCTAGATTCCTTTTCTTCGCATCAAATCGATTTACCCCTTTTTCATCATGTTTTCTTCTTCTCGATTCCTTTGGATTTGCAGCACCTTTCTCACCTAGTAGCAGTTCCCAGCCTGTCACATGAAAACCACTATTTCCTTGGTCCAATCGGCAATCTTGACCCCACTGATTTTATCACTGGTGAAACCAACAGAATCCCTTTTAGATTAGCCAACCCTAATCTGGGTCATAGGAAGAATACTTTCAAGTCTTGGCCATCTCTTGAGAAAACTACCCCTGAGAAGAGTTGGACCACATGGTACCAGCGCGTGTCGGCTAGTAAGAAAGTTCACTAGGATGAGATTGGGATCGGCCAAGCACTTGCCCTCACCATAGCTAATTCTGCCAAGGACGAACCTCTGATGGCTGCCGCCACCTATTTCTAGTCCAACACCATCAATGCCTTCCTGTTCAACTAAGGGCCGATGACTCCAACTTTGATCGACATTACCATTATCACCGGTTTAGATGTAACCTCACCGGCTAATCCCATGAGCATGAACACCAAAAATCAGTTTGATTTTAGAACCAAAAGCATAGGTGGCTGGTCTGGTTATGTGGCAGCATATATGGGCCAAGGATCTGTTACTCCTCGAGAGCATTTAGCTTTCTTGCTAATGTGGCTAGAAAAATTCCTCTTCAGTGGATCCAGCTGTGGCCCTACAACCAATTGGCAATTTGTAGCCGAAGCTCTAGAATCAAAGAAACAATTTCCCTTGGGCAAAATCCTCCTCGGCTATCTATACCAAACATTGAACAATGCATCGGCCAAGATAGCCGTCGGCTCAGTAGTTGGTGCAGGTGGACCATGCTGGCTGCTGCAAACCTGGTTGAACCTGATGGTCATGAAAGTTGCCAATCTGCCGTCTGTGACAGAAGCTGAGTTCCCATTGCCAGAGCCGATTGTAGGAGACGATCGAGAAGAACGCACTCATCGCAGATGCACATCATACGGAGAATATGCATCCACACCAACCGATGCTGGAGCAAAGCTATCGGCTGAGCTGCTCAAGGATTGGTTCTACAGCTTCTATGAAGGCTTTTAGAAAGATGCACGGGTTTGGTTCCCTTATGAAGATTCAACAAATCTTGAACTTCCATCAAACTTTAGATTTGAAGACATCAATCATGAAGAATTCCAAAAATCCAGAGAAATTCTCACAGCTGCAATCAGCCCATGCATCCTTCCTGTTGGCATTCACCAAGGAAGAAACATCCAGGTCTCCTATAAGTTTTATCACCCAATGAGCTCGGCTAGACAACTTGGACTAGGCCAACTCCCAATCGGCTTATTCTTTGCCGATAAGATCCAGTGCCGAGGAGAAATCACATCAACTCTGATGATGGATCGGCTGCTTAACCTCCCAGGATGTCACATCCTGATTTTCGTTTCAGGATTTATAAATTATTTAATAAATTATTATTAGAATTTATATTAAATGTTCATTAATTTACAAGTGAAGTTAAATGTGGGAAATAAAATTTTCTAAATATAAAGCATGGATGGATTTAATTTTTTATTAAATTCTCCGTGGTTAATTATACTCTCTGGAATATTCTCGGATTTTTCGGAGCTCAATTCCTAATTTTAATCATACAAAGAGCATTTCAGTAATTACCCACATATTAAATTAATCATTAAATGGTCTAATTATAATTTTGTTAAGTACTTTGAGTGTCCAAGTATTTTCAGGATTTTTTTCTGGGATTTATTTGAGCATTGGAAGTATTTTTAACAATTCAAAGATCATCTCATTGATTAATTTATTATTTTGGAAGTCCTTTGTTGCTCCCTTCCGGCCCAGCCCAAAAGTCTTCTTGACCTCCCCCGCGCTACTGTTCATCTTCCAGCTCCAGCCGCCGGCTGTAGCTGAGCCGAGTCGCCTTGCCGAGCCGCTTTGCCGCGCCGTTTTCTCCCCAATCTCTCCCCTTTTCTTCCGATTGTTTGCGGGGTTTTGATCCTCTCATCCTCCTTTATCCTTTTCCCCAAGAATCGGAGCAAACCGTTGAGTATTTTATCCGAATCGAACTCGTTTTTGAGTTTATCTCCAAAACCGAGTTTTTGATTTCCCGGATCGATTTCTTGCGGGAGGAGTCCGATCTCTTCAATCCAAGGCTATAAATAGGACCCCTTAGTCCTCCTCTTTCGTTTGCCCCCTCTCTCGTGGTCTCCCGTGTCCCGTAGCCTCGCCGCCACCGCCGCCTAGCTCACATGTTGCCGCCAGCCATCTCCGGCGAGGTAGCGCCGCCACCTCCGTCGTCGCCGCATTTAGGTGCGCCGTGGTGAGGGGAAGCCCGGCCGCCCGTTCCCCGTCGTCGCCGACCACCGGAGCGCCGCCGTCCCCGTGTAAGCCGAGCCGCCGTCGCCGCCCCTTCGTCGCCGGCCGTCGTCGTTTGTCGTTTGGCTCGAGGGTGAGTACCGTTGGGTTCGTCTCGTCGTCCTCTACGCGTACATGTCCTCCAAATTCGCAGCCGATCATCCAATCTCCGGCGAGCTTGCCATCCTAGCCGGCCACCTTTGGTGATGTCATCATGTCATCATCGGTTTTTCTTTTTCCTGTTTTTCTAATAGATTAAATCTTCGGAAAATCATAACTAAATAACCGTAGATCCGTTTCAGGTGGTTCAAGTTGCTAAATTCATCTAAAATCATGATCTACATGTTTGTTTACTTTATATGTACTGTTTATTTGGTTTTTATTAGTCTTTTTCTTCGTTTTGCGTGTTAGCTTGTCGTTTCCGTCGTTGCGAAGGTTCGTGAGTGCGCCGGAAGTATTCAAGAAGATTAATTGAAGACCGATTATTGCAAGGCAAGTCACACAGATCCTAAACACAATTCCTTTGAGCATGTTGATCCTATATTTAAATTCTCTATTTATTTCAACTGTGCATTTATTTTCGAATGTCACCACATTTATTTTCGAATGTCACCGGGTGGTGTGAACCTTTTCCTTTGTTATGGCCAATTTGCATTGAGTGCCCTATTCCTTGATACCTTGGGTAATAAATTGATTAGCTTGAACCTTATGTATTGGTTTGGTTCAGCTAAATGTTATATATATAATTGCTTAGCCATGCTTAGAAACATTAGCTCACTAATGGGATGAATCATATATACTACATTATTAATTATGGTTATATTTAATGGTAGCTCACGATGGTTAATCGTGTTATGATAATTAATTGGTAATTAAAATATGATTAATGATGGGTTGTGAGCACATGGTTTTGAAGGTCGTGCTCATGGCAATTAAGGACCGGTTCGCGAGCTACTGTTGTGAAACATTTATCGTGCCAACCACAAGCCAGCGTGGGCAACGGCTTTATCTTTTATATAGCATGATTCAATATAGTGCGCCAGACTGTGAAGTGGCGAGAAGTCCACGGGGGTCGCTGGGGAGTCCATGCCTTGTTTATAAGGGGGTGATTATGATCCAGGAAAGGTGCGCTGTAATGGATTATGTTATGCAAGGGGTATTGTCACAACTCCTTTCCGAGGTACCGTGGTGGTATTGAGGCACATGGTGACATGATGTGGGGTTGTGTCTTGTGGGTACAGTGGTACACCTCTGATCAGAGTAAAACTATTCGAATAGCCGTGCCCGCGGTTATGGGCGAGTTGAGCAATGTTTTTCGTGATTAGTCTCACACTACTCATCAATGTTAATAATGTGATAATTAATTTGACTCCTGGTTTGGAATGGATAATTCCTGGTTTGGAGGTTTGATCTGTACGACCGGGGTTGGTTGTTCAGGTTTGGTTGGGCCTGAGCAGCATGGGTGTGCTGTTCAGTGTTGATTAAAATTGATGATTAATTACTCTACTGTTTTACTTATCTTAAATCTTTGCTAAACGCTGCTTTTGCAAATGAGCCTATATTATGCCATCCTTTGGAATCCTTGTGCACTTGCATATTTGCTGTGTGGCTTGTTGAGTATGTCATATGCTCATTCTTGCAATAATCATCAAACCTCAGTTGAAGATAAAGGATCCAGAAGGAGAAGACGTTTGGCTTATACCCCAGTTGAGCTGCCTGTGGGAGTGGAGCTGAAGCCATCGCTAGATCGTTATTCCGCTGCTGTTTTCTTTTCTTTTGTAAGTATGTAACGTTATTATTAAGATGGATTTGTATATTAAATTGTCAGTTTGTGTACCTCGGCTGATTCCTGGACGAGGATTTTGTGCACAAATAAGTTCGGAAATTACTAGTGAATTTCCGGGCGTGACACAGGACCCCCTCTGGGCAGTATTGACAATATCGAGTTGGCGGGATTTAAGAGCAGAAACTTCGACAGATGGTGGGGTGAGTGGAAGTTGCACTTGTTTCAACAATCAGCTTCGATGTACATGACAGACCTATTCCCTGACATCATACCCAAGGTAAACCTTGTCATTATTAAGTTCAATAATTGTCTGCCGATTCACTACTTGACTAATCTCTTGTTCTCGTTTTGCAGACAATCGACTCTTCCCCTCCACGTCAAAGCAACAGTGGTGTCCAATATGCCCCAGGTTTGATCCCAAATGGAGGTGGACCATCTCCCCCCGTCATCGGCTACCATGCCCCCAAGACTTCAACTCTTCTTCAAGGCTTAATCAGAGAACCAACCGATGTAAGCAAGAAAAGAAAAACTAGATCATCGGCTATGGGCACTTTGGCTCTAGTTCCAAAGAGAAAGGTCAAGTCTAAGAAAACCAAGCCGACCGATGACCTGCTTGCCTTGGATCCATCCATTGAACGAGCTCTGGATGAAGAAGACATTGAAGACGATGTTGATCAGGCTGTAGCTGAAGTGAGTGACACAGAAAAAACGCCATCGGCATTACCCAAGCAGACGCCTCTGACTCCTTCTGCCCCCACTCATTTCTTAAGAGTAAACAGCTCTCTTCAATCTCCTTTGTAATTATTTCACTTTTCGGCCGATTACTCATAAACTTTGTAACTACAGAAGAAGAAAACTGCTGTAAAGAAGAAATCAACAACAACAATTGTCAAGCCAGTTCCGCCAGTAAGATATCTTTTATTCTTTTACTAGTCAATCTCAGCTGACTCCATATAATACTTGTCTATTTTGTAGCCTCCTCCCCCTCCTTCTCCTCCTGTACTGCAATCGTCGAGTGACCGGACTCCATCGGCTGTAGGGAGTCATCATATTGGGGAAGAAGAACAACCAGCTGCTCCTACTATCCCAGTAAGTTTCCTTTTATTCAAGAAATCTGATCGGCTATATTGACCTAGCTCTTAATATCTCCCGGAATTGTTCCTGCAGGTTCTAGCCGATCAGATTTCTTTTGACATCAGAGATTATCTTGATGAAGCAGAAGAGGATACTTCAAGCAAAGCGCTAGCCCCCTTATCTGACGATGTGAAGAAAACACTTGAAGATATCTCTTGTCGGCTAGAGGCCTCTTCTTTAGATAGCTTAGTGGTCGACTATGGATCAATTAGGACACGGCTACATGAAGTTCAAGCTCTGATTCTCGAAGAACTGGCCGCTGTCCTAACTCCAGCCGCTTATCTCGAGCAAAACCAGTTCAAGCTGGAAAAAGCCAATCAAAGACTAGCCGAACGCCGTGAGTGCAAGGAGATTGAAGCCACAATCCAGGTCAATCGACAGCTTGTGCATGAAGAAAAAGTCAAACTAGATTAGCTATCTGAGGGTCCGATTAAGTCCAATATTAATCGGCTCAAAGCTCGCAAGATCGATCTCTTGGCACAGCTTGAAGAATGCAATGCTGAACTAGATATGGAGCACAAAAGGCTAGCCGATCTCCCAAAATCTGTCGAAGAGCAGAAAGCAAGGCTTAAATCGGCTATCAAGAATGTTGCTGACCTAACCAAGTCCCTGAAGGTCATTTCTGGAACCGATGCTCAAGATGCCCAAGCTATTGAAGAAGTCAAACAAATTAGGCAAAGGGCTATTTTGGCTATCCAACGGTACTTGTCTCAATAACTTTTGTGTAATAGGACTTAGAAATTTTTGTAATCGGCTAAGATGCCTTAATACCCCGCTGTTTTAACAATCCTTTGTGCCGATTAACATAACTTCCAATTTTTCTCAAAAATTTTCACTTTCATTTTTTGAATATATGTGCCCCCCTAATTTTATAATGTCAATAGCATTGATAAAATTATAAAAACAACTAAGGGCGATATAATAATATCGGCCATTGTATATCGGCAAATCACAACCGATTACAATTGGAAGAAAAAACGACTAAGGGCGATATAACAATATCGGCCATTGTATATCGGCAAAGCACAACCGATTACAATTGGAAGAAAAACGACTAAGGGCAATATAACAATATCGGCCATCTCTAGACGATGAAAATACATCGGCTATCATGTATCGGCAACATCAGCCGATCATGCATTAACCCAAACACTTGGGTAATATTTCTTCAAATATTTACCATTCAGTGCTCTACCATAAACTTGTCTATCAAGTCCTTGCAACATGTAAGCTCCTTTAGACACAACTTTATAAATTTGAAACGGTCCTTCCCAATTCGGCGACCACTTGCCGAATTTGCTATCCTGAGTTCCAATCGGCAAAATCAATTTCCATACAAGTTCTCCCTCCGAAAAATCGTTGGGGACTACTTTCTTATTGTAATGCCGAGCAACACGCTCCTTATCTTTAGTAAGTTTTGCAAGGGCTCGCAATCGTGACTGAACCAGATCTTCCCTCTCATCGGCCATAAGGTTGTAATATTCATCGGCTGTTAAATCATTTTGTAATTCCATTCTTCTAGAGACGATCCTAACTTCCCATGGCAAAACAACCTCATGTCCATAAACAAGTTTATAAGGAGGAACTTGGATCGATCCATGACACGCCATCCGATAAGACCACAATGCTTCGGCCAACCGAATATGCCATTGCCGAGGATAATCAGAAATTTTTCTCTTAATCAATTTGATCAAGCTCTTGTTAGATGCCCCGGCTTGCCCATTAGCTTGTATATAATATGGTGAAGAATTCAACAATTTGATACCCGTGCTATCGGCAAACTGAACAAACTCATCGGACACGAAAATTGAGCCTTGATCAGTTGTAATAGTTTGAAGAATACCAAACCGGTAGATTATATGCTCTTGAACAAATTGAATTGCATCCCCAGAATCAACCTTCTTCAAAGGAATCGCCTCTACCCACTTGGTGAAGTAATCAGTCGCCACCAATATAAACTCATGTCCTTTACTCGATGGTGGATTTATCATACCGATCATATCAATTCCCCAACCTCTAAATGGCCATGGCTTAATGATAGGATTCATAGCCGACGCCGGTGCTCGCTGAATTGCCCCAAACTTTTGACAGTCTTGACACCCTTTGTAATATCTAAAACAATCTTCCAGCATTGTCGGCCAAAAATATCCTGCACGCTGAAGTAACCACTTCATTTTATGAGCCGATTGATGAGTACCACAAATTCCCTCATGAACTTTGCCGATTGCAACTTTAGCCTGATCGACATTCAAACACTTAAGAAACACCACATCAATCCAATAGAGTGTACTTCAACGCCTTATATCTCAATTTCCTAGAAGCCGATTGAGATGGATTCTGTAAATACTGATGCACATCATACCTCCAATCATCGGCTGTCATTGCTGCAATTTCAACCCTAACATCTTTGATCATCAGCTTATACCCCGATGCCCCCTAGGCCAAATTATTAGCTTCAATATTTAGTTCTCGAGATACATGCTTTAAAGTAACCAGCCGAAACTCCTTCATCAATTCTTGGCACTTCTCATTATAAACCATTAATGTATCATTCTTGCATTCATATTCTCCTGACAATTGACTAATTACTAGCAAAGAATCCACCAAGATTTCAATAGCATCGGCTTCAACTTCCTTGAGTAATTGCAACCCTTTAAGCACTGCCTCATACTCAGCTTGATTGTTAGTCGCATAAGGTTTAATAGTATAAGCAAACTCAAAACATACCCCTCGAGGGGAAATTATAACCAAGCCGATGCCACAACCATGAGTACATACCGACCCATCAAAGAATAAAGTCCATGGCACAATCTCGACCGAGCCGAATGAATCATCACGATGTCCCACAATAAAATCGGCTATAGCTTGTCCCTTAATTGCCTTCGGCGACTCATACAGAAGATCAAACTCAGTTAAAGAGAATATCCACTTTCCAACCCTTCCTTTCAAAATTGGAGCTGATAACATGTATTTGACAACATCGGCCTTGCATATGATAGTACACTCGTTGGATAGTAGATAATGCCTCAACCTTGTACACAAAAAATACAGACATAAGCATAACTTCTCCAAAGGGGAATATCTAGTTTCAGCATCCAAGAGCCGACGACTGAGGTAGAATACAACTCGTTCTTTTCCATCCAACTCCTGAATCAAGTCTGAGCCGATTGACTTCTCACCGGCTGACAGATATAACCTAAAAGGTATTCCTTTCTGTGGAGGAAACAAAACAGGAGGAGAGCTAAGATATTCCTTAATATTATCCAAAGCCTTCTGTTGCTCTGCCCCCAAGTAAACTGCTGATCGGCTTTTAATCTCAACAATGGTGTAAAAGGCTCTAACCTTCCAGACAGATTAGAAATAAACCTTCTAACAAAATTTATCTTGCCGATCATCTCCTGTAGTTCTGTCTTGTTCTCCGGAGGCTGAATCTTCTTGATCGCATTAACACTCCTTTGAGTCACCTCGATTCCCCTCTCATGAACAAGAAATCCCAAAAACTGGCCAGCCGATACACCAAAAGCTCATTTTGTCGGGTTCATCTTCAGGCTATATTTTCTGGTTCTCTCGAAAACCTTCCTCAAATCGGCTATGTGGTCCTCTATTTCTTTAGACTTAACAACCACATCATCAATGTAAACCTCAACCAACTAGCCGATTAGATCATGGTATATGTAATTCATGGCTCTTTGATATGTAGCTCCAGCACTCTTCAAGCCGAAAGTCATCACAACCCATTCAAACAAGCCGATTGCACCAGGACACCTAAAAGCTGTCTTATGGATATCTTCTTCAACCATAAAGATTTGATTATATCCTGCATTACCATCCATAAAACTCAAAATCTTATGTCCCGAAGCAACATCAACCAGCTGATCGGCCACTGGCATTGGATATTCGTCCATCGGGGTAGCCTTATTTAAGTTTCGAAAATCAGTGCACACCCTAACCTTGCCGTTTTTCTTGATAATAGGAACTATACTAGAAACCCATTCAGCATATCGGCAAGGACGAATAAAACCAGCATCATATAATCGTTTAATCTCAGCCTTGACAGGTTCAAGCATATCGGCTTTACATCTTCTCGGAGGTTGCTGGTGTGGCCTAACCCCTGGTTTAATAGGTAGCCGATGTTCAACAATCGATCGGCTGAGTCCAGGCATCTCATAATACTCCCAAGCAAAGCAATCTCTGAATTCTTTCAACTGCTCTATTAACTTGGTTCTAAATTCTGCAGATAAATTCTTACTAATAAATGTCGGCCTTGGTCGATCACCTGGACCTATATCAATTTCTTCCAAATCATCAGCCGACATAAAACCCTGTCCTTGTTTGTCATCGAAATCATCTACTGTGTCCTTGTTGTAGACATCTGAACCCTCCACGACGCCCTCAAAATAATAGCTTGGGTTGGCACAATTTCAAGACCATCCATCTCCCAAAGAGCTAAATCAGCACTGGCAACATTGACTGACCTATCGGTTGGCACAATTTCAATCTTGTCGCCTTGCCACTTAATCAAGCATTGATGCATGGCTGAAGGAATGCAACAATTAGCATGAATCCAATCCCTTCCAAGCAACAAGCTATAAGAACCCTTCCCGTCGATGACAAAGAATGTTGTAGGGATGGTTTTGTTGCCGACTGTCAGCTCCACATTCAAACCTCCTTTGGTTTCTGATGGATTACCGCCAAAGTCTTTAAGCACCATGTTTGTCTTGATGAGATCTTCAGCGTTTCTACCCAACTTTCTAAATGTAGCGTAAGGCATCAAGTTTACCACAGCCCCACCATCGACCATCATCTTGGACATTGGCTTCCCATTGACATAACCATTTATATACAATGGCTTAAGATGCCGATTCTCTGTCCCCTCTGGCTTCTCAAAAACCGCCTGCTCTGGTGACAAAATCAATTTAGCCGATTCTTCTTCAACTTCATCGGCATCGGCTTGCTTCATCCCAAACTCGGTAGGCAACGTGAAAACCATGTTGACCAAAGCAGTTACGACGCCTTTTCCTTTAGCTAACCTTTTTGCCTGATCAGTTGTGGCTTCATCGGCTACAGGAACCTAATTCTTAACACGCCACTCCTGCCTCGGCTTTGTTTTCTTCAGCCGATGGTTAATTTCCTGCTCGACCTCCAGAAAGCGCTCCCTGTTCCTCAATCTTTGAACCTTTCTCTTTTGATTCTTCGTAAAGATACCAAACGGACACCATTGATTTTTTCTGTTTTCATTGTCCTCCTGGCCACGATCTTGATTCACTGGACCCAATCTTTGATGAACAGGAACTCTTGTCTGCCTTAGCCGACTGCCCCTACTATATGATCGGCTTGAGCTCTCGGCAATACCACTGCACCCAGGACAGTCTTCAATAGATGGCAGCCTCATACCGCCATTCCAACAGAATCTAAAGAACTCACAACCCCAATGAGGATCAAAGCCATCGTCATCTTCTTCATGATGCTTCTCCTGCTACTTGTCATACTTCCTCTGATATTATTGATAATCTTAGCCGAATTTACTGAATACCCCTTGCACGGCCCCCATCGGCTGTTCGGCCAGCTGTGTGCACCATATTAACAGGAAAAGGATTGCCATCAACCTTCATCGGCCTCTTAGAGTCGTCAAACTTGATTTTGCCCCCTTCAATAGCCGCTTGGATCTGCTGCCTGAAGCCCTTGCAATCATTAGTCGTATGAGACCCAGACATTATGCCATTTGCACTCACCATTTTCTTGCCCCAATTCTTCCAGCGCGATGGCAATTGTATTGCACTGGCAGGCACAGTTGCAATCTGCTTCTCTCGGAGTAGCAAGTCGAAAATCTTGTCAGCCTTAGTGAT